CACAAAACAACCAAATTTTATTAAGCTTAATAGTTTCTCTGATACAAAGAGAAATATCAAAAAGAAACCTAGGACATATGCATATGTAGTACCCCCCTCGAAAAAAAAATATGCAATAAATCCAGTGAAAAAAGGACAAAGTTCTCTCCAACAGAGAAAATTATCTTCGCATTTGGAAGATGTTTCCACACACCATTCTTCTTTTTAAATTACATATTCCAGGGCTGGGGCGACAGTTCATTGGGTAAGCCGTCAATTCCACAAGTGAGAAGACCCAAGTGCCAATTCCCCAACATAGGTAGGGCCAGATATGGCAGCACATGTCTGTAATCACAACACTCCTAAGGCAAAATGGGGGTGCAGAGCCAGACCTCGGAAGCTTACGAGCCACCTAGCCTGGTGTGCACAGCACTAAATGGGAGTCTCTGCCTCAAACAAGGCAGACAGTAAGGACTGACAGCTGAGGATCTCCTCATCCTCACACCCACGGGCTCAAGGGCACGCGCGCACACATACACACATTTTTTAAATTAAAAAATGAAAATTGGGGCTGGAGAGATGACTCAGTGTTTAAGAGCACTGGCTGCTCTTCCAAAGAATCTAAGTTTGATTCCCAGCACCCACATGGCAGCTCACAACCATCCATCTATAGCTCCAGTTCCAAGGGTCTGACCTCATCTGGCTTCCTTGGGCACTAGGGATGCACACGATACACAGACATAAACATAAAATAACTTTCTTTTTTTTTTTGAGACAGGGTTTCTTTGTATAGCTTTGCGCCTTTCCTGGAACTCACTTTGTAGACCAGGTTGGCCTCGAACTCACAGAGATCCGCCTGCCTCTACCTCCAGAGTGCTAGGATTAAAGGTGTGCGCCACCACCGCCCGGCATAAAATAACTTCTTAAAAATGCAAATTCCAATCTCCGAATAGATCTCCTGAATCAAAATCTCAAGGGAGCAGTTGAAAAATCCATATATATATATATTTATTTATTTATATTTATATTTAGATCAAGTGGATAATTGCTCTAGAACAGCAGTTCTCAACCTTCCTGATGCTTCGACCCTTTAATACAGTTCATATTGTGGTGAGCCCAACCACAAAATTATTTTCGTTGCTACTTCATAATTGTAATTTTGCTACTGTTAGCCAGGCAGTGGTGGCACATGCCTTTAATCCTAGCACTCAGGAAACTGAGGTAGGATCTCTGTGAGTTCGAGGCCAGCCTGATCTACATCCAATGGCTATACACAGAGAAACCATCTTGAAGAATGGGAAAAAAAATTGCTACTGTTATGAACTGTAATGTAAATATCTGTGTTTTCCAATGGTCTTAGGAGACCCTAGTGAAAGGGTAGTTTGATGCCCCCCAAAGGGGTCATGACCCACATGTTGATATTAACTGTTCTAGATCAATAAAATTCAACAATATGGAGCTTAAAACTGAAGTCTATGTATTTAAAAGTATTGACAGTATTTTGGATAACTTGGCAAATTTTAATAGGGACTACTAAAATGGATTCTTGGTAAATTTTCCTTTTTCAAACAGGATCTTCTGTAGCTAGGCTGCCACGGCCCTCTTGCCTCCCTCTAATTGCTGGGATTTAGACATGTACCAAACCTGGAAGAAATTTTGGTAATTTTCTTGGATTTAATAACATATTTCAGAAATGTAGAGGAATGTCCTTAATCATAGGCTACATTAAGTTCGAGTGTTAAACAGTAACTTGTCATGCCTCAACTTAATTTTTCGGAGGGACAAATTAATTTTAAAGGCTACAGGTGGAGAGAGGTTGGGGAATATTATTTTAAGGTGTGTTACTTTTGTTTATGTTGCATTTGTTTAACTCTGTGAAGCTGTGTTACTGTGCCTGTCTAGAACACCTGATGGTCTAATAAAGAGCTGAACAGCCAATAGCAAGGCAGGAGAAAGGATAGGCGGGGCTGGCAGGTAAGGTAGAGAGAATAGATAGGAGAAATCTGGGACGGAAAAGAGAGGAGGGGGAGATCGGGGCCAGCCATTCGGCTACGCAGCAAGCCACGGAGTAAGAGGAAGATTTACGGAAGTAAGAGAATGGAAAAGCCCAGAGGCAAAAGGCAGCAGACGGGATGATTTAAGTAAAGCTGACTAGAAACAAGCCAAGCTAAGGCCAGGCATTCATAGCTAAGAATAAGCCTCCATGTGTGATTTATGTGGGAGCTGGGTGGCAGGCCCCCCAAAAGAAAACCAACAGAGAGGAGCCATTGAGACAAACACTGGGAGGACCACCACTGCACTCTCCCACACTCTGAAGCTGGAAACTTCTGAACACAGTTGAGAGGAAATGAAGCTACTAGATGACTGTGGAGTAAAAACCCGAGGCCTGCTGGATGAGGTAACCCGCCGCTCTCCTGACAGGCCTCAGGGCGGAGGCTGGCATGTAAGGCATTCTGTGAGGCTTTGAGCAGCCACTACAGCTGCTGTCACAGCCCAGCCTGGCTGACCCTTGTGAAGAGGCCACACTGACCCCTAGAGGTACTCCGGACACTCAGACCCGAGCAACCCTAGCCCCACATCAGCAATGTCCATAACCAGTTCCCTTGTCCCCGATTCCACGGGGCTCAGGTCAACAGGCAAACAAAGCCCCCTGCTTGGTCTCTTCTGTCACTTGACTCTTCTCAAAGTGAGGCTGAATGCAGATCCACCCAGTGTGAGGCCAACCCCACCAGCTCCACCAGGGCAACTGGCGAGGAGGCTCGGGGGGCCTAAAGACAGTGGTGTACTGGAAAGGCTGGCAGGAAAGAGAGGGCTGAGGGCTAAGCAGGAAGGAGAGCGCAGCAAGCAGTGCTGTGGGACGGTCTATATGTCAAATGCTCTGATTGGTCAATAAATAAAACACTGATTGGCCAGTGGCCAGGCAGGAAGTAGGTGGGACAAGAAGAGAATTCTGGGAAGTGGAAGGCTGAGGCAGAGAGACACTGCCAGCTGCCGCCATGACAAGAAGCATGTGAAGATGCCGGTAAGCCACAAGCCATGTGGCAAGGTATAGATTTATGGAAATAGGTTAATTTAAGCTATAAGAACAGTTAGCAAGAAGCCTGCCACAGCCATACAGTTTGTAAGCAATATAAGTCTCTGTGTTTACTTGGTTGGGTCTGAGCGGCTGTGGGACTGGCAGGTGACAAAGATTTGTCCTGAGTGTGGGCAAGGCAGGAAAACTCTAGCTACAAAGCAGGTTCAGGGTTAGGGTAGACCGCCTGTCACGTCTGTCACTGTGACAAGTCACCCAGCAGAAGCGACTCCAGGACGGGGCCCTCTGAACTCACGCCTGCAGGGACCTCAGTCCACCATGGCCTGGAAGGCACAGCAGTAGGAACGGCTGTCTGCCGAGGCAGGGTCATGAGGTGGAGCGTGTCCACATGGTAGCAGGAAGCAAAATACAGGGGCCAGAACCAAGCGAGGTATGACCTTCAAAGCCCGCCTCTACTGACCTACCTCTACCAGCTGGGCCTCACCTCCTCGGGCTCCATAGCCCTCCAAACTGCCCAGGTTGGGGATGTGCTGATGGGATGCAGGTTAGATCCCCGCCATAACAGGCTGTTAACACGAAGTCGGCCATAAACGGAGTGGGACAGGCAGGGGACACAGGTGACATGGCAACAGAGGACCACTCTAGCGTCGGGCTGCACGCTCTGCAGGAAGCCACTCCCTCAGGATCAGGCTGCCTCTCCTGCCAGGCTCTAATCAAAGGCCTAGGAGGAGGGCACAGGTTTCTACTGTTCAGATGTAGGTGCAGAAACAGCTGCACAGTGTGTGTGTGTGTGTGTGTGTGTGTGTGTGTGTGTGTGTGAGACCTTTGCTGTGCTCAACTCGGGCCAACAGCCTCAATCCAGAGACCAGAGTCTGAAGATGTCACTGGAAATTAAGACAGACTAAGGATTAAATCCCCTACCCACAGAGACTTCCCCCAGGAGAGCCCTCCCAGCCTGGCCACACCTTCAGACCAGGAACTAGAAGGGTGGATGGTACAGAGGGCAGTGGTCCAGGCTCACCTGAGAACCTAGGGAACCCACCCAGGTAACAAATGGATAGTGACCCACGCAGGTTTGGCGGGTCACAACATTATGTTTCTGACTCAGGTGAGGCCCGGGATCTACTGCACTGGAATCCAGAAAAATCAAGGGGGCCACCAGAGTGACCCTACCCAGAGGGAAATTCTAAACCTTTGTTTTGGGCACTCTTAATGAAAATGTCCACACAACAATTCAAATACCACTGTTGTACATCAATATAAATTTTACACTTAAAAAATGAGATCGGTGCTTAAGAGTCCCGGCTGCTCTTGCAGAGGACCCCGATTCAATTCCCAGCATTGGCATGGCAGCTCAGAACCATCTGTAATTCCATTTCCAGGGGATCGTATGACCTCTTCTAACCACTGTGGGCAAAGGCACTCACGCTGTGGGCACAGATGCATACAAGCAAAACACTCATATAAAGATTCCAAAGAAAAACAAAATGAGGTCTGGCATACTGTGTTTTTGTTATGTTCTTATCTCTGTTTTTTTTTTTTTTTTTTTTTTTTTTTTTTTTTTTTTTTTTTTGATGACCAGGAAGTATTTCATAGGAAATATAATCCCAAGATACATTAACTTACTGATACAGTCAAGATTCTTCATCTGGGAGGAGAGGCCGGGGTCAGGGGGCACCTCCACGGCCACCAGCAAGTCAGGCCAGCACAACAGAATGGAGCATGGCCACGGGGAGGGGCCTAGGACACAGCCCACCCAGTGCCCCACACACCTCCTAGGGCTCCTGGAGAAACAGCCAGGCCCACCATCACCTCCCCTCTGAGGAGAGAAAGGAACAGATTTGTTTGGTCACAGTGACATTTTGGCTTTCTATCCTTAGAAGGGCTGGCACCAGCTAATGGGGAACGGTAAGATAAAACAGAATGGCATTAATCAGCTACTGTGCCCCACCCAAGTTTTTCTTTTTATTCAAACGAAGGAGCAGAGCAGGGTCAACCACTGCCTTATCTTTATTGTAAAGCCACGGCATTTCTATCAGAGGCAAACACAAGGCCTCAAAGATTGCCCTCATACCGCTGCTTGAAAGACAGTAGCAGAGTGACAGATTGAGACAAGACCTTCTGCCTGGAGGCGACTGGACTGTCTATACTTAGGACAGCTCAAGACTCTGGAAGCCACAGCCAGAGAGCAGCACAGGAAGCCAGAAGACAGCTGCTCTTGCCACAGGGTAAGCTGGTTTGGACCTTGGCCCAGGCTCTCCCCACCTGTGGTGTGCTGGCCCGGCAGTACTCTCGGTACACACCTATCCCGTCCCGTGTGACCCCGGAGGGAACCCCAGGCTCCGGTCAAGCCCACGGAGAACTTCCCTCACTGTTCTCTCCTTCCCGAGGCTGGCATCCAAGTGTCTGCCTGAGCAGCCAGCAGAGACCCTTCTCAGCAAGCGGACCCTAGGACCAGGAATACCCCCAGATAGAGGTATATACTTGAGTCGAACCCCATCTAACCTCGTCTGAACTCTGAGGTGCCCTGGATGACTTCTGTAGACTACCAATGGGGAAGACACAAAGTTCCCTGAGCCTCAACCTTCCCCACATGTAAAATGGGCGAGTGGGTTTGCACAGAGGCTCGCTGTCAAGACAATGCAGACGAAGCATTGCATACAGAGCACACTGGAAAAAGCTTCAACACAGAAGGACGGACACCAGGGTCATGAGAGGAGAAGCAAGAAGTAAACCGTACAGTGTATTTGGACACGATAAGAGAGGAACTCTAAAAGCCACCTCCACCAATGCAGATCCTAGTGAAAGAAAACAACACTGAGTTTTGAGCGAGTGAGTCTCTGGAGGGATTTTCAGTCAGGATTCCATCATTTCTTGAAAATCAATCTGTAGTCAGGCATGTTGGCAACGCCTTTAATCCTAGCACTCAGGAGGCAGAGCCAGGTGGATCTCTGTGAGTTTGAGGCCAGCCAGAGGGAGATCCAGACAGACACCAAAACTACACAGAGAAACCCTGTCTCAAAAAACCAAAAACAAAAAAGAAAAAAAGAAAACCAATCTGCTAAAACACAAGCGCCTGGAGGGGCGTGCCTGCGCCTGTTCACTATGGGTGACAGCTCACACCCGCCCGCACTAGGACAGCTTTCCCAGCTGTGTGTCCGCCTGCTCCTTAGCTTTCAGTTCCTCTAGCTTCTTCCCATAGCGACTCAGGAAGTAATCGTCAGGTTCCACACCCGAGCTCTTCAAAGTTTCCAGGACCTTCTCCAGTCTGGCCACAGAACGGGCTCCGTCAATCTTCCTGGTGCTCAGGTACAGAGTGAACTCCTGGAAACCTAGGAGCTTACAGGTGTCCACAGAGCAAATATTCCGGATGTTGCTGGTTCTGTCCAGACGGGGGAAAAACACCAGACCTGACATCTTCTCTAGGTCCTGGAGGCTCACCTGGAACTCAGTTAACTGGGACTGGAACCCAATGGCTGTATTTGGCACCACAAAGGCTCCCAGTGCCAGTGGTTCAGTAGATTCTGGGCTTCTGCGAGCCAGAATCACCTTGTAAAGGTGTGAGGGGACTGCCACGTTGTCCTCACCGATCACCTAAAAACAAAACAGCCCAATTAGTGTCAACAGTTTCCAAAGTTTTGTTCCCACAACTCCTTAGACGCATTACCAGAAAAGGTCTGTAAACAGCCTCAGTGTACCCAGCGCATCACAGTCCAACTGCTAAGGAAAACAACAGGGAATAAAGGCACAGGTCAGAAAGCAAGAGGCGCTCTCGGGAAGAAGCTACAGCGACGTGGTGAGCTAAGGTTGGTTGGTGGCTATCACTCTGATTTCTACAGCTTTCACCTCTGTATTTGGCGCTGTGTTTATTTAATAAGACTGTTTAGAAATTCGCCTACAAGAGAGTCAAACAAAGATGAATATCGGGCAGGCCAGTTCGAACCAGTCTTAAAATAATGCTACCTCAAAGAGCAGGACAGAGGAGGAAGAGTGCCGCAAGCATGCACTAAATTTTCAGTGGGAAAAAGCTGTCATTTTCTCTTCGTCTCATAATCAGAGCTTTTGATGCTCTACACAGTAGAAATCAAAACAGCTGGCTTCAACATCCTCAGCTCTCACAGTAAAAATGGCCCTGGTTTAGCAAACTCACCAGTACCCAGATATCCATCAATGGAACTTTCTAGATCACTTCGATCGCGGCTCACTTTTTCTAATTAAGCACGTGCAACTGCTTTTGCTTAGTTTCAAATGCTCCTGGACCATCAAACATTGAACTTCTAAATTATGCTGTCAAATCAGACACTTTGGAAAGGTAGCCACACAATGAGAAAAGGAGAAAACAAATTGGCTGCATAAGCTGGCCGTACTAATTATGAAGCCTCTTTCCTCTGATACACTTAAAAGCCTCATCTGTCACCTAAAATACAAAAGCTGAATGTCCCCGATAAAATGACACTAGCCAAAGGAGCAGGCCTGCAGTGTGCCTCTGGGCCCTGCCTTCGGTCAGCAGGTCTCCTCTGGTCAGGCAGCTCTGGCTGCAGGCTCCCTGTCCAAGTAAGGCAGCGAGATCAGAGCCAACAAAGGGGTCTTTTCTGATTTTTAAAAACTCCTATCCACACTGCACACAGCCTAGAACTAACTCCATGGCCATCTACTGTCTGTCACACATTGCCACAACCAACTACAGGACTTCAGGGAAGACCCAACCACAGGAATGACATCTACAACAACTGTCTTTGAGCATACTGAAAATGGTTGGTTGGGGCTTAGTACGGAGCGAGGTTTATGAAACTACACTGTCCACAGGTTCAAAATTCTTATCCCCAAGAGTGGCTTACGCAACCAGGGCAAGCGAGCTCGCTAAAGTTCACACCAGGTTCACCAATCCCCGGTAGATGATACTAGCGAAGCTCAGGGCTCCTGAACCTGGCACTGACCCTCCAGCACAGCATAAACTGGGTGTGATGGAGTAGGCTGTAATCCTAGCATTCAGGTGAAGACAAGAGGATCAGAAGTTCAAGGTCACCTTTGGCTGTACCCTTAGGGAGCTCAAGACAAGCCTGGACTCTGTATCTCATTTTAAAAGGAAAAGGGAGGGACACCAGTAAGTCTGCTCTTGAGCAAAGTACTATCTGAAGGGGAACCCAATACCCACAGCTTTCCTTATACACAGAATGTGGCAAGAGGCTGAAAGATGACGGGTAATAACAACACGGGGGTCTGGGGACTAGAACCAAGGGCACAGCAACTCTGGAGTCATATTCACAAAGAGGTGTAAGTTGAAATGAGCTTCTAATGCTTTACAGTGGCTGGGGACCCAGGGGTAAGCAAACCCTTGGTGCCACCTGGTGGGCTTTCCATAGCACTGCAACCCAGCACAAGACCCTCCGGCTCCCTGGAGAGCCTTCTACAGTCACTTCTCCATTTCTACCTCAAGGCTCCTTGTCCACAAACAAAAAGCTGCTTTCAAAAATATTTAACTGGCCATGTTCACTGGCTGCCAACCAGAACTTCTAATTGAGTTCCTTAAATTCCAGCAAAAGGTGTAAGTGTTTGACATTTTACATTTCATGGCTTTACTTCATGGAAATGTGCCGTTTCTATACTTTTTGGGTTTTTTTAAACTCACGCTAGCTGAAGGACCTCAGGGATGCCGAGCACCCCTCTATCACTCAGCTACATCTCAATCCTTGCCACTGTTCCTATTCAGAGCTGGAACATGAGACTCTTCTAGTCATGACCTTCCCTATAAGTAACTAGAAAATTAAATCAACTCATCATCTTGTCCGAGTCAGTCTACTTTGTTCTCAGCACATCTAAAAGAGACCATGCCTGTTTGGAAATTCAAAACCCACTGTTTCTTCCTTAAATTTGAGGCTTATAGCCTGGTGGTGGTAGCACATGCCTTTAATCCCAGCACCCGGGAGGCAGAGGCAGGTGGTCTCTGAGTTTGAGGCCAGCCTGGTCTAAAGAGTGAGTTCCAGGACAGCTAGGGAGGGCTACACAGAAAGAAAAGAAAAAAAAAAAAAAACCTGTCTCAAAATAAAAAATAAACAAAACAACAATAAAAAAATTGAGACATAAGTAATCTTAAAATAATTTTGGATTCTCTTCCTTATAGGTAACTCAGCAATACATGTAAGCTTTTCTTACTTTGAGAAAATGTTCCTAGAATGTACAAGGCTCAGTAGACTAGACTTCTACTCAGGTTCCACTTTGCCATAAGCTACAACTCAGCCTCCTTTCTTCCTGTACACACAGTACCAGCGATCCCCAAATGCCCTCACAGAACTGTTATGACAGACTGACATGCTAGTTTGATGATGATGGAGGAGGAGGAGGAGGAGGAGAAGAAGAAGAAGAAGAAGAAGAAGAAGAAGGCGGCATAAGCCTTTAATCCCAGCACATGGGAGGCAAAGGCAGGGGGATTACTGTGAGTCTGAGTTTGAAGCCACCCAGTGCTATGAGACCCTGTATCCAAAGAGACAGAGACAGAGACACAGACAGAGGGGGGTAAAGGAGAGTATGATGTGGTTGATATATTGTGCACCCCAATAAACTTATCTAGGGGGTCAGAGAACAGAAGAGCCATAATATTAAACATAGAGGATAGGCAGTGGTAGCACACGCCTTTAATCCTAGTATTCCAGAGGCAGAGATCTGTCTGGATCTCTGTGAGTTCAAGGCCACACTGGAAACAGCCAGGCACGGTGACTCACGCCTTTAATCCCAGGAAGTGATGGCAGAAAGCAGAAAGGTATATAAGGCGTGAAAACCAGGAACTAGACCTGGTTAAGCTTTTGCCTGGTTAAGCTTTCAGGCTATGAGTTGCAGTTCAGCTGAGATCCATTTTGGATGAAGACTCAGAGACTTCCAGTCTGAGGAAACAAGGTCAGCTGAGGAACTGGCAAAGAGAGGAAGCTGTGGTTTGTTCTGCTTCTCTGATCTTTCAGCGTTCACCCCAATACCTGGCTCAGGTTTGTTTTCATTAATAAGACCTTTTGAGATTCGTGCTCCAGTGTGATGGTGCATAGTTATAATTCCAGAACCTTGAGAAGTAGAGGCAGGAGGATCAGGGGTTCAAGGACAGCCTGGGCTACAAGGGACACTGCTCATAACAGTAACAAAAAAGATTTCAAAATCCCCAAGACCTATAAAAACTATTTTTTATGGTGGATGTCATTCAAAAGACAGGTTTTGCGGAGGGATAGTGGGAAAACATGGGCTCCAGCAAGATTAGACCAGTTACAGGTCAGCAGCAGGCTCAGAAAGAGAAATCCAGGTGAACATAAATGACTGTGGACGAAGGGTTTCTATATGGCTTAACACGAATCACGCTTTTAATATCAGTACATCAGCAACAAACCTTTTCACAAAAGACTTGGATAAAAATGTTTCACAGAGGAGATCACTGCTGCTATTAAAATGCTCAGGAACCTTGAACTCTTGTCAAGGATAACAAAAACTGGAAATCAACCAACTGGAAATGACCAGAAAATACAACACACAGAACAGATGTACAATGGACTCACATGTAAGTTGGTTATTTCCTACATACTGCCTGGAGCTTGCTTCCTTCCTTCTAAGAGACTATCTAACAACTTATCCCTGTCACAACCACAAAGTGCACCCCGCCCCCCCAGTTCCAGAAGAAGTTGGCAAGACACAATACAGGTTTAGCCCGCTATGTGTAATGTCGTCTAGTTATTATGTCTTGACTAAAGTTCTTAGGATAAATGTACTTAATGACACCACCCCAATAAGAAAGAAAGAAAGGCAGTCACACCAAAAGGAAGACTGCCAGGACACATCAAGAGACTGAGCCCTTAAAATGCCAATCACAAGAACGAAAGAAAGAAAGAAAAAGATGGTAGTTTGGAAGACATGGCCTCCATCCACACTTAGGAGACAGAAGGGACAGCGAGGAGACACGGGGAAGGAAGTCGACAGGAATGGTGGGAGTCTTGTGTCAGCAGAAGCCAGCGGCCATCTGCTGGTGAAGCAGCTCAAACCAAACACAGCCTCCACCCGCTGGGCAACTGCTCCGGGCAGGGGGCAGATATGTAAATGAACAAAGTTTCCCTAGACTTCCCGATTCCTGGGGCAGATTTCCGATTTCCTCTCTCCCTACGAGTAACTGGACTGAGGCTCCCGAGTGAAGGGCAGGCTGTTACTGCTCACGTACCACCTCTCATCAGGTCATTTACAATGTTCAAATCTTCAGGTATGTTTCACATCTCTCTTGGAGTGGACGCATCAGAGAAAGCGCATGGATGGCCTCAGCTACACAAGGGTGACCCTGATTCAAGCTGTCAGAGGGTTCACTTCTGATAACATCACTGCTACTAATCCTCCCCGAGGCTCACACGTACTCAAGTTCTAGGGTGCTGTGATCCACTCCCCCAGATTCTAGTGGACATTTCTGCCTGGCTGTAAGGAACCCTCTCGGCCCATTTTCTGTTATTTCTGCATGCTAGCAGATACTCCCGGCCTCTACCCACAGCGTCTTCCATTACCAATGGCCTCATGCTCTCAGTGCAGGAACTTGGTCTTCCCTTTGCCACAGACCTTTGAGAGCCTCAAAGGACAATGCT